AAACCATCCTGAACCCCAAAGCCCCACAACCACCGCGGGGCATCCTGGACCATGAGGGGCCGCGGAGCGCGTGACCACATGTGTGTATATATATATATATATATGTATGTATATGTATGTATGTATGAATGTACGTATGTATGTATGTATGTATCTATGTATGTATGTATGCTTATAAATATACACACATACAGTAATGATGTGTGTATGTTATGGTTTGGTACGGCATGGCACGGTATGGTACGGTCTGGTATGGTCTGGTTTGGTGTGGTGTGGTATGGTCTGCTATGGTATGGTATGGTGTGGTATGGTATGGTATGGCATGTATATGCGTAGAGTACATGCATGTACATGCACACATGCAGAAACCTGGGTAGGGCCTTAACTTCGCAGCACACTCGAGCGTGCTGCATGAAGTACATGCATCTCGATCTAAAGCTCGTGGAATGTTTGTACCTGTTGTACACAGAGCACAGCGCATAAGCAGATTATGCCAGTTCTGTATGCGCATGGTGACTGAATGGTGAGTTTCGAAGCAGCCCTCGCAAACGCAGTGAGACCCCTCCAGCCTAAAAGCCTTCGGCACTCCACCCCTCGTTTTTCACAACCACGGCCGAGGACTTCCCTGCGCCCAACAGCGGGCTGCAGGCCTTTGGCAGTGTGGGCCCTGCTTTGCTTCCGATGCTGAGGGTGATGGTTTCCGCAGCTGACAGTGAATCGACTACGACTATGTTTGTACGGTCGCCTTCCTATTAGATTTTATTGCTCTTCGTCTTGATGTTGCTGTAGTTTTTGTTTGTATTGTCGTCTATTTTACGCAAGCTGGTGTCTTAATTTTATGTTTCACTTCTCTGAAGGTGAAGGTGGCACGGACTGTCGTGCTGCGCACCTTCTGTCTGCATTGTTGCAGCTTAGAACTTTTCGCAACAGGAATGCTGTCACCAGGTGTGGTGACAGTGATGAGGATCTTTCGTTTGACATGGTGGTAGAACCTGTTGGTGCTGGTCGTCGCAATGACGATCGTGGTTGTGGCGACGGTGTTGGTCTTTCTGGACTTTGGTATAGTCGTCGCTGCTGATGCTGCTGGTGGTGCTGTTATGGTGGCGGTGGTGATGGTTCTGGTGATGGGGTTGGTGGTGGGGTTGTGGTGGTTGTGGTTGTTGTTGTTGTTGTTGTTGTTGTTGATGATGTCGTGCTTGGACAATAGTGGTGCTTGCCACCACTGTTGTACCTCCGTCATCAACATCTCGATCATTGTGTTCGTCGCGGGAGCCGCTATTGCTGTGATTGTCGCTCCCGGTCGCCGTCGCTGTCGTCGTTGACGTGGCGATCGTCCAATGCATCGCAGCGCTCATTATGGTTTTGGTCGTTATCCTCCTCGCAGTCGCTGCATCATCATGTTTGAAAGGCTCCTGAGCCTTTCACCCCCCTCATGTGTGGTACCACCCGACACCGTGGTAGAACCAAGGCGTCTCTGTCGCATCTTTGAGCACTCGCAGCTCTTTTGTGGCCGGCAGGCGGTCCCGGCTTCTTGCTCAGTTTCGGTGCGTTTAACATGGGAGTTGGGGCAGTTGCTGCATTACTGCTTGTCCTTGTCTAGCTGGCCCACGCGAGGTGTCGGAGTCTACGTGTTTGCATGGCCTCTTACATTGTTTGTTTATCCTATGGTCCTGTGGAGCCTTCAGGATTGGGATCGTGCATGGGGCTACCGAGCCGGATCGGACAGGACTTGAAAGTCACGGCCTTTTCACAACAGTACGTAGCTTGGAGGATGGCAAGTTCCTGCAAGGCTTTTACTTGGACCATTCCGAACTTAACAGGATGGACAGGGTAGAGATATGTTTGGTGATGCAGAAGTGTTTTTTTTCGGAGGTGTAGCTGTAGAGTCTTTGTTTATCCATGCTGTGAACACCTTTTGTCCCGCCGATGTTGGGCGCCTGGAAGCCTAGGAAGCGTGCTCAGAGCTTGTAGGCCATTCATGTGCCCTTGCTAGTCTTTGCCCCACAGGGTGCCAACGATGGGCTCTGCCAAGCGAGCAGCTTTTGGCCTCAGTCCGTAAGTTAAGAGCAAGAGGGAGGGAGCTGCAGCTTTTGCAGTATGCGTGTGTGCGTCCTTCCACTCATTGTCAGGGGTCCACAATATCTGTTACATGACATAACACTCGGCATGGTAGGAAGAGTGCAGTAGCTTGAGTCTAGCGGCGACGTTGCCTGAACTGCTAAACCAAGAGCCCTTTGAAATCTGAAGTCAGCTACGGTGGTGGGACATCCATCATCGTGTACGTGTAGCTCTTGCTGGGTTAACCACTGCTTGCCTGGACACCGACTTCTGAGTTAACTTTAACTACTTCGGTACTTCTGCTGAAGACCGAAACCTCACGATGTTAGCCTTAACCGCAAGTTGTCGCCTTAGTAGTAGCCAGATGCAGGCTCCCAGGTCAGTACAACATCTACAGAATTTCACTTTAGACGTGTCTTGAATTCGCAGATGCTTGGCTTCGCTTTCAGATAGAGAGTCCGGCACCACTGGCATCTATCAGGGGACGTGACTACAGATGTGAAGGCAGAATCGAACATCTAGCTTGGCTTTGTCCGTGGCTAAAGCTCCTCACCCAGACTGATAGCGGATGACGGCACTGTGTCGCTAGCGTTTTGCTAGCACGCCTTTGCCAAAGGCCCCGCTTCCATGACAACATTAAGATGACTATGTTACTATTCTTAATGAGACAAAACATAAATATCAATTTCTTCTCGTTATTTCATTTCAGTCTTTAAGGTCCTTTCGGCTTCCCGAGCTCGGTCCGGGCTGGTGATGAAGGCCCACAAGAAGGCGCCACAGCCACGATCTCTACAGCCTTTGGAGTTTGACACGCCTAGGCGGCAAGAGGGTAAAATGTTGCTGTCGTTGATGCCGCCGCTTGAACATTCCTGCCTCAAGAGACGGTAGTCAGAAATACGTGCAGTTGTGCTGAATGATGCAGAGCCAAGGCTGTAAAGTTGTGCAGCAACCCTCCCAGAGTAGATGATTTGTGGCCCAGTCCTTCGTCATCCTTCTCATGTGATCCTGTGGGATTTAAGAGTATTCTTAGCTGTCGCACCCTGTCGCGCAGAGTCGTGATCAGCCAATGTCGACCGACTGCACTGCAGAGTGTGAGTATGCTGTTTGTGTCGCCGCCACCGCGGAAGAGGTGGCGCGTTGCCAGTCTCTCCGACGCGAAGTATTCGTGCAGGAAAAGAAGATACCTGCAGAGGCCGAGGATGATGGAAAGGACCCAGAGGCCCTTCACATCATGTGCACAGAAAACAGCCAGCTGATCGCCACTGGGCGGGTCTTGATCACTGGCCATGAAAGCCAGGTGAGGGCTGACCTTGCCCGTGTCGCCGTCCGAGCAGACCGCAGAGGGCGGGGCTTGGGGAGTCGGATGGTCCAGGAGCTCGAGACCCTCGCCCGATCAAAAGGTGCCAGCCTTGCGAGGTTAAGAACGACCACCTACCTGGAGCAATTCTATTCGCGAATGGGATATCTACGACCGTCCGATGATGTGATCGCCCACCTTAGTGACGAGTACCAGCTCATAACAATGGAGAAGAGCCTTGATGCGGAAAGCACTAAAGCGTAGGCACGCATGAAGTTTCGCATGGATGCCACTACTGCAGACAATTCTCCGCGACCGGAAAAGAGTGCGACAGAGCTTTCGCAGGGCATCACTGGGTATTGGAGCACACGCAAGAGCTTGCAGCAGTCATCCTTGTAGCAGCTAAATCACAAGTCTGCGGATTCTGCGAACCCGGGGTTAGTCACAAATTTGGAAACATGCTGCCTGGTAAGTTTCTTATTTTTTCTTCATGGGCTTAGTACGTCGGCCCTTGAACGATTTCCCCTGTCAATTCTCCGCAGCTTGATGGAGGCAGCTGCAAGTACCAAGAACCAGGGCAACTCACGCAATCCTCATCACTGGGGCGCCACTTGGTGCGGTTTTCATTGCCGTGTAGCTTTGGATTCGGGGTCGAGGGTCGGGATTTCTTTTTTTTTTTCGGGGAGGGTAGTTTGCTGCACAAGAGTTGTGCAAATAGTAGCAGCCGGAAACGAGTTGCTGATGATTAGCTGCTCAATGTGTCGTACCTAGTCACAGTAGCAGTCGCGGAGTTGTAGAGGCAGTTGTGATGATAATCACGGCAGTCCTTCGTCGTCGCGGTCGTGGTAGTGGTAGTATCCCTATAAACCCTACAACGCATACAGCTGGGTAGCATTGTGCAGCCCAGGTCAAGGCATTGAGTGGGAAGGCTGTGAAGTGCCGCCAGCGGCTTGTGAAGCAGTGCCATGGTCGCTAAATCGGAGTTTCAGATATTCAGGGACGCTTGTAGAACCCTGAACAAAGCACCCTATCTGTAATTTGTAATCATCAAAACAGTAGAGTTGAGAACAACAATAAACCTAACAATAACCATGGCAATGTTAATCACAGTAATCACAGAAATAGCACTAGTAACAACGACAACAACAATATGGCGAAGGCTAATACTATTAGGAATGCCTATACTAATCCGAATTTCAATGCTACCACTAGCACCTTGTGCCGGGAGTTTAGAACACGTATTTGATGGAACCGTCTTCGTAACCTTGGCAATCTTGCCCCACTTGCTCGCCGACTAGTTTACCTTTTGGAGACCAAGATTGCAAGATTGCTTGGCAATCTTGCTCCCCTCCTTGCAATCTTGGTTTTAAAGGTAAACTAGTCGGCGAGACCAAGATTGCAAAATTGCCTGGCAATCTTGCTCAAGTAATTGTTCTACGTTCCCGGTACACTGCACTAGTACTAAAACCAATGCTAACATCAATGCTGACCTAGTCCTAGCCCGCTCCTAATCCTAGTCCCAGACCAATGCTAGTACTAAGATTCATATGCTAGTACTAAAAGTAAAACTAATACTAGTACGAAAACGAATACTAGTAGTCACACTAATACAAACACGAATACTAATGCTAATACTAATACTAAATACGAATACTAATAATTGCAAAAACTAATGCTAGGACGAATAAATATTAATACCAACTAGAATACCAATTGCCATTATTAATACTAATACCCATACTAATACTAATATTAAAACTAGTACGAATAAATCTTAATACTAACTACTAATACCAAGAGTAATGCGAATCGAAATCCTAATCCGAGGCACATCTTCAGGAAGAATAACCATAGCAAGCCAAAACCTACTAAAAGTGAAACAAGGAGCGGGCAATCGGGCGTTAGAGTCGGAGCCGGAATGGAGGAAAGCTGTTTGGAGCGAAGAAGCGAAGAGCTACTTCGAAGCCAAGCTCCGACCCGCCGTTCCGTTGTGTATTTTTATGGGTATCATGATTCGTGTGTATTACCGTTTTCTCCCAATTATTACATTGTTAACTACTGCTACTACTACTACCACTACTACTACTACTACTACTACTACTACCACCACTGCTGTTTGTGATGTTTTGCTCATTATGCGTATTATTATGACTATTGCTATTATTCTTGCATATCTTTGTGTTATTCTTGCGATCATCATTGTTATTTGCCATAACTACGGTTGTTATGAATGCTATTTGGGCTGTGTCTGTATACGTATACCTGTACATCCAGAAATCTACTTAGTCAGTTACCTATTTGGATTGTGACTGTGGCGACGAGGCGTGCCATGAACTGGTACCCTGGGAACAATGTGAAGATGTGCAAGCCTCTTGCCCGCAGCTTCCCACCCTTGCGGGTTAGTGGCATGTTAGTCAGTTAGTTAGTCAATATCAGTGTCGAGAGTCGTCATGTTCTGACAGTCTTCTTGTCGTCATCGCCTTAGTCACATCATCAGACTTCGTTGTGAGTTTTGGTTGTTGGAGTAAGGGGTGCATGGTAGCCAACAAGAAGTTGGTTTGGCACTCCCAAATCGGATCCGGATTTCGGATGAGGTTATGTGTTCAGCAAGCCGAAGCTTTCCAGCAGGGAGTGTGCACTGACCATGGGCCCTATCAGGAAGCAGTGTTGGAACACCTGAAGCCGAATCTGGCAGATTCCGTGAATCCTTGGGCCTACACCACCGGCTTTCAGGGACATGTCGTTGATTGCCCTGAAAGACGGCATCGTGCAGTGGCGTGGCGACTACCGCCACAAGGAGGCCACAAGTGACAGCGTTGGGCATCCACCTTGGGCATCCGGGCTCCACGCACCCTAAACCCTAAACCCTAAACCCTAAACCCTAAGAGACTCAATGCCTGCAGACCGACGAGCTTCACAGGGTTGAGAGATTCCGGCTCGGAGATGTTGCGTTTCGGCGCGAACGCCCCTGCAGGTCAGCGTTGTGCCCTGGGAGTATGTGACGAACAAGTGCCGATGGTCTACCTCGAGCACTCTGGTGCCTAGAAAGCAACAGCTTGGACTCGAGAACTGATGACTGAGAGAGCCAAGCTCCAATCCCAAGCAAGTGCCCTGCTGCAGCCTGGCATCCCGAAATTTTTCGACTTGAGCCGAGGCACCCCAGAAGTACGAGCCCTGGATGGGCACCAACTTCGATCGTATGGGCACCCAGAGACTTCCCTGAGTGCCTGCCAGGGCTAGGCCTTCAGGTGCCCTGAAGATCATGTTTCCGAAAAGGCAGTCCTCGCGCCGCAATTGGTTTTTGACTCCTAGTCCTAGACAGAAAGACATTGGACTGCAAGAGCTATGCCGAGGTTACAGCGACAAGTGGCCCATCCGACAGATGTTTGAAGAGTGGAAGGCGGGATGACCCTGCTTGTGCTTTCAATGCTGACGATCCTGCACACCTGCTGAGGAGACTGAGGAGGGAAAGGCTTGGATCGCCAAGAAAGAGGAAAAGAAGGCCGACAGCAGCGCGAGCCCGCAAGCGTGTGCTAAACAAGCATGCTTCATCTGTTTCGTTCTGGGACGCGGTCTGTTAACTGCTGCTCCGCCTTAAACCGGTTGGTCAGCTCAAACTCTTTATGGTCTCAGGTACGGTTCCAACTCCACTATCAGCACGGTTGTTCAAACTGCTGACGGTACCACCTGGCTGTGTGCTGTGGCGATGCTCACTACGTGTGCGGTGCGAGGCCAAGCAGAAAGAGATCCAGAAGAAAATTCGGTGCCTCTGCTGAGATTTGAGCAGGTTGAAGGTTTTTTTGTTTCGTGGGTAGGTACGGACACAAGTGACATGATGGACCCAGCCATAGTCATCACCATGCTGATGATGATGCTGATGATGACGACGACGATGATCAATCATCGGATCATTATCATCATCACCACCACCACCGCCATCGCCATCGCCATCGCCATC